TATTGGCTTACTTACCGGCTGTAACGGATCCCACTTTTTAAATTATTTCAAGATTAATTACTGATGCTAATATCTTAAATCTAAAGCAACTAAAAATGTGTTGTGAAATATAAATTGAGTTGCTTTTAGATATCTAAAATATACCTAAGCATTAGCTCTAGAATGATATAGTTCGATGAAACCTCTGTATATTGTTTTGCTGCCAGCTGTCTAAAACATTTATGATCAAACTTCTGACATATCCTTAGAACAGTGGTGGTATTTCAGAAATATATTACTGTGCTTGTGAGATGTAAAATGTCAGTACTGTAGCATATACCACCACATCACATGAATGCCAAAGGAGTTCACATAATTTTCCTAGAAAATGCAAATTTGTCTGCACAGATACTTCAACTTCTGTGCTGGGCTTTTAACAAGCAAAACACAGAGCTGAAGCTCAACTTTAAAAAGTCTTCCACTAAACTCCATATGATCTCTTCTAACTCCAGTTCCCAGTTAACAACTTTTCAGAATGACAGTTTAAATCAAGAAAATGTCACACGTTGTATAGTAACAACCCTAATCTTTCCTGTAAATTGCTGCCTGTGATTTTTGAAAACATGGGAAATTGCTGGCAATTGACAATGTGTTGCACTGCAAGGAGAACTTGACTTTTGCACATTTAAACAAAACAGTCTTAAATTATTCATGTATATCATTCAACACTTAGGCAATTCTCAGAATCATTCGTTTCACAAACCTGAAGCCTTCCCTTTATACTAAACTAAAATCACTCACCTTCTTCTATCTTGTTCCCCTCCTTTCCACAAGGATAAAACAAGGATATTATATGAAACATGGGACAAAGTGACTCATGTCAATTCAAATAAACTTTGGATGGGAACAACAGACATTGCAGATATGTGCTTTCTTCATCGTTAAGAGATATGCTTGCATAAAACCGCTATGCCTCCTCTTTTACAGCCCTCTATTTGAAAGGCTGGAACAGAGTGGATTTCAGAGGCATTCTCTGTTCGAGTTGGTATAGAGATAAAAAATCCTATAAAAGAAAAGCTGAGCCTTGAAGTTGCCTGTGAACAGCATCTGGATAGCAGATCAAGCAAAGAACACAGGTACTGGACACAGTATGATGAGCTATATTGTATGTATATTTAAATTGCAATAATTATTTCTGAATTTCCTTTACATATACAAATTAGCATATGCAAATATATACAGAGACATTCTCTTTTAGCTTATTTTTATTATGCTTTTTGGGGTGATTCATACATGGTCACTTAAATGCAAAGATCAAAAGGGAATACAACAGTGCTTAGCTTGTGCTGAAAGATGCTTAGACAAAGGTCTCCTTTGCAAGCTAGCCTGAGTGTTGAAGGAATCCACCTTCTTTTCTCTTGTTAACTTAGATATCCACAACCAACTGATACATCTACCACCTCTTTTTCTTTCTGTAAATGAGACTTAATGCCAGGGTTGGAGAAGATAGGCTGAGTGTCAGTTACAAAGCAGAATACCTTGGTGTAATAAAAGGAAATGAATTTTCTTCTTAAAGCAATATTGCTGCTTTATGGCTCTGCTTTTAGGCAATTCTATGAAAGCACTGTAAATGACACCTAGGAAGTGGGGGGGGGAGCCCTCTATATTTGGCAGCATCTGGAAAGCGTTTCTAATTAAGTCCTCAGGAATGCCATTTCATGAGTGAAACACTTCTATGAACCCTGGGATAGCATATTCTGAAGTATGCGACGGGATGGAGATGAGACTTTCAGGGAGCTGCATAACCCATGCTACAGGAAAATTATCAGTGCAGTGGTCTCAGAGTCTGCCTGATTTAAACCAAGAACGTTGTCATCTCTAAGCTGGAACTGCTGACTCTGAGCTATTTCTGGCTGGAGAACAGAACACTGGGGCCACTCTGTCAGTTTGTTTTGCAGACCCACCATTTGCTTCTTGGAGTAAATCCATAAATAAGCTAATTTCTGGTCCCAAGCTGGTCAGTGGACCTCCTTTCCATGAGTTCTGCAGATGTGTGTCTTTCCAAAAGAAATGTGTCAGTTTGTTTCTGATTGGCTCGGGACTGTTAGGTTTCCATCACTCAAGCAGCAGGTCCTACTAGCAGGATGGATTTTTTTTTCCTAGACTGAAACATCTCCTCCACATTTTCAGGAAATGCAAACAAGATATGACTAGTAAAGAGTATAGGGGAACTATTACATGTCATGGTTTGGAAGTAATACTTCCATTAACGCTTCCCAAAATAGCACCTGTCCTTTTTTGAAGCAGCATTGCATTGTTGGCTCATATTTAGCCTGTTGTCCACAATCACTCCAAGGTTTTTCTTTTTAAGTTCTGTTGAGCCACAACTGAGGAGCAGGTACTCCAGATTCAAAAGGATCTGGATAGACTATGGAAGTGGGCAGGAGACAACAGGATGGCGTTCAATGTGGATAAGTGCAAGGTCTTGCACTTGGGGCATAGGAATAGGTGTCAAAAGTACAGGTTAGGGAACAAGTGGCTGGAGAGCAGCACTTGTGAAAGGGACCTCGGGGTACTGGTTGACTGCAGGCTAAACATGAGTCAGCGGTGTGATGCAGTGGTCAAGAGGGCAAAGACCACCCTTGGTTGCATAGCCAGAAGTGTGGCTTCTAGATCAAGAGAGGTATTACTACCACTCTATACGACTATGGTGTGCCCGCAACTGGAGTATTGTGTTCAGTTTTGGGTCCCTCATTACAGAAAGGATATAGCCAGGTTAGAGTCAGTGCAGCGTAGGGCCACAAGGTTGGTGGCCGGTTTGCAGGGGATGCCATATGAGGCGAGACTGAGGGAACTGGGTCTCTTCAGCCTTGAGAAGAGGAGACTCAGAGGAGATCTGTTGGTGACATACAGGTATGTGAGGGGATGTCACATGGAGATGGTTGTGATGGGTGTAACCTGTTCTCCCCTGCAGAGAAAGGCAGGATGAGCTCCAACAAAGCAAAGCTCAGGGAGCCAAGGTTCAATTTGGATGCTAGGAAGCACTTCCTGACAGTTAGGACCCTGAGAGTATGGAATGGGCTTCTCCAGGAGGTGGTTGAGGCTCTGTTGGTGAGGGTGTTCAAAGATAGGCTGGACATGCACATGGTGGGCATGTTGTAAGCGCAGCCGGCTGGAGCCGGAGGTCAGACTAGATGGCCCGGGAGACACATTCTGACTCACTCCGTTTCTCTGTTTCTATATTTCCCATCTTAAGTCGATGCATTTGGTTTCTTTTTTGTAGGTGGGGGACTTGGCATTTGTCACTGTGGAATCATATTGTGTTGCTTTCAGTCTAGTGTTCAAGCCTATCTAGATCTCCTTGGTTCTACATTCTGTCTTCCATTGTTCACTATTCCACCTAGTTTTGTACCATCTGCAAATTTATTATTGTTCCTTGTACATTGTCATCTATACTTGGCCTAGGACCAAGTGCAGCACCCCACTAGTTACCTTTCTCCAGTTTGAGAAGGTGCCATTGATGACCACTTTTTGTGTCTGATTTAGCAACCAATTTTGTATCCACTTAATAGTTTTTCTATCTAGTCCACTTTTTGCTAGTTTGCTAAAGTCAAGGTAGATGATGACCACAGTGTCTCTTCTGTCTATCTGGGAGGTTAGCCAGTCAAAAAGTGAGATTAAATTAGTCTGACATAAGGAATAATACCCCACACTGGAATGTTCTTTAAGTATAATCATTAAAATAGCTAGAAAACCGAAAATGAACTGTATTAATACCATACACACCTTTCTTAGCTAAGATAAAGTTGTAAGATTATTCAAAACCATCTAGGCATGCAGCATCAGAAACACAAAGTGATTAGCATTGCTGAAACAAAAATTAAACCACAAACATTAGGAAACAAAATTCATTTCAGAAAATTGAATTTGAATGTTGACAAGAAGGTATGGATTTCTGAATCTGACCATTTTAAATATACTTACTAGTGCTTCCACAAACAAAACAAAGAATCTCAAAATTTACATTAAAATTTAGTCTTAAGGTATAGCAGTCTTATGTCATTCTCCTCTTTCCATGTGTTCTGCTGCAGATGTGGGAGCTTCGGGCCAGTAAACCAACTTCTTGTTGGCAAATTTGTAGGAAAGCCTGCTCACAAGGCAGTTGATACACCCAACAGTGATTGTGAAGGACTAACTCTTTAGGTTCCTAATGAAATATCCGTATTTTTGAAATGTGACTCTATTACTTTCACATCTGTACAGTTTAGTGGGGAGTAATTTCACTTGCCATTACAGAAAGTATAGGAGAAAGAGATTACAAAAACATGGAACACCAAGTATTTGCGACATTACCAGTATGTAGCAAGAAAGGAAAATAAAAGAAAAGGTAGATAATGAACTGCAGCTGACAGATGGATGAATACTTCTACAATAATGGCAATGTAATTATAGGAAGAAAACAGAACTGTTTTGAAAATGGTAACTTTACCAAAAAATTAAACAAATATCCTTATCTTTGAGATAGTCTTTAGATGTTAACCAGAAAAGCATATTCTATTTTTAAAAATGGCCTTGCCCATGTATGTGCATCTTCACTGATATTTAAGCAGTCTTCCAGCCAGACACCTAGCTAGGTCTCTTTCCTTTGAACCTGCTGGACCAAGTAATGATAAGTGTGAATGGTTACAGCACTCTTACATATGGATCACATAGTGTTTGCCCATTCTTCCCGAAAAAACAGCTCTGTCAGATTGGATGCGGACCATTGGGGTACAGCATCATATAGTGGGGAGCTTTCCTTGGCAGGAAAAGAGCAACTGGTCAGGACTGAGGCAAGATGGAAAAGGTCAAAGACAGGCCAACTCGAGAGAAAAACCTGTTTCAGTCTGCAAGAAACCTTGAGAATGGGGCAGAGGCTCATCTTCTGGCAGGATAATGATAATGACCCTAAACACAGAGCCAAAGTAATGCTGAAGTGGTTTAAAAACAAGAACGTTAATGTCTTAGAATGGTCAAAGCCCTCAATCTGATTTGGAATCTGAAACAAGACTTGAAAGCTGCTGTTTACCCCATCCAACCTGAGAGAGTTGGAGCTAGAAGAATGGGCAAACACTGCACAATCTAGATGCACAAGTTTGGTAGACACTTGACCAAGAAGACTGGCAACTGTAATCACTGCCAAGTACTGACTGACTGAGAGTAGTGAAAAGTTATGCAACCAACAAGTGCCAGTTCTTATAACCTTCTACCACATTAAAAATATTGTATATGCCCACTGTTTTTAGTATCTTGTGGACATATACAATAATTAAGTGGTAAAAATAAGAATTAAATCAACTTCAGGTGCAGGTTTCCATATAATGTTTCCACAAAATGTGGGAAAGTAAACAGTGGGTGAATACTTCTGCAAGATGTTGTACAAGAACATGCATCAGTCTTTTGTACTTTGCAGTGTTTGTGTGTGAGGAATTGGCTCTAATGAAGCACTCCACAAGATGCACAAAGATCCTGTTTCCCAGTCAGTTAATACACATGGCTCGGTTTCCCCATTAGCGAGAATGAATTCTTCACTGCAGGTGGCAGTTTCTGTGCACATACCTCATAACTAAGAAGACAACCACTGCCAGGCCAATTGCCACCATTCAGCCTGATGCCTCACTTCAGAGGGAGGGTTCAGTGCAGACAGATGCTCCAGAAAACCCTGCCTGCAACAGCAGGAAAGCAGCTGCTGTGCTTCTCCATAACGGCCAACTTCTCTCACTAAGGAGTCCTTGGAATGACACACTGGAGAACTGAACTTGGCTCTCATCTGCTGCTTCAAAAAGGGTAAGACTGAAAAAATAGTGAGAATGAAACTAGGCAGGATGTTAGCTGCATGAATGCAACAAAAGTGAACATTTTCGTAATAGGAATAGAAGCTCATTTATATAACAGAAATATGCATGTAAATTGCATTCACACAATTAACATCACCTGAAAGTTCTTCCTGAAATATTTGCAATACAGATATAGCCACAGGAATGATTTCAATTCACCTCTTCATCATTTCATACCGAGTTCACCTAGGGTCAACTTGTACTAACACAGTGGCTGCATTCACAAGCCATGACAAGAAACATTGTGTGGTTTCCACGCTTTGTGGGTTTGATTGCAAGTATGTGCCTACAGATGATCAGGCTCATTGTATTAACTCTTTTTCATCCTGCCATTTCCTTCCCTCTCAGTCCTCCAAGCAATATCCCAGGAGGCTCCTCTGATAGCTGCTCCTTGGTCACAAGCAGACATTGGCTTTCCACAGCCGTCAAGATATCTCCATTGCAGTAATGGGACTTACGTTCTGAAGCACAGCAGAGAGAATGAGGGAGCTGATCAGGCATCCTATACACCTAGTGGGGACCACTGGAGAAAGACGGGGGGCTAATCACTGCTCAGGCAAAAGGGAGGAAAGTCAGCTGGACAACACTGCAGAAAGGAGTTGTGTCCCTGTTGTGAGCGAAGTCAGCTCACAGTTACAAATGATCCACACTTATGCAGACAATAAAACTAAAGTCCTTTATTGCTACTTATCTACAAGATTTGCGATGCTACGAATAAGCTCTACAGCAATGACCTTTACAAGTCAGTTGCTATCTCCCCAGTGATGTCTCTCAAGGAACCCATGTGGGATTAGCTTTCTCTGTCCCACCTTTCCCCCCTAAGGAGGGGCAAAGCCTCTTTTTGTTCCAATCGTCGCAAGCTACATCTAAGAGACGCGCGAGACAAATCTATCTCACTTCTTGCATCTCCTGTATCCTGCTCAGGAGACTCAATGTCAGGAGGAGGGGGGTATCCTGCTCACGCTCTTTAGAGGCAGAAAGTGCAGTATCTTTTCCCTCAGGGCCCTCGTGGTCGGGCTGAGGTGTGGCTGTTTGCCCAAGGGGTAAAGGGTCAGGATGAGGACCGGCTGCCTGTTCAGTTGGTCCCAAGCCAGGTTGTGGAATGGGCGCTTGGTCCAAATATAAGTCCTCCTGATCTGATGTTTAATCCTTCCTTTGGGTGCTTGACACTTCCTCTTGAGGTGTCGCCTCTGCTGAGGCATCAGGCACGACAGTCCCCTAACATTTGCCTGAGGGTAGCTCCTTGCATGAGCAAGCAGGAAGGACAAGAATCAGCTGGGTACTTCTCAGATGGAGACTATGCTCTTCAGTGGATTTCTGTTCTTCCCTCTCCACATGCACTGGTGGAAACCCTTCACCTGTGTGAGTGGGCAGGAGGAATGAGAATCAACTGGGCAGTGCTGTATCTCTCAATTTATTCCTCCTATGTGGGAGATGTGAAAGTCAACTGGGTGAGCATGCAAAGATGCCTCTGAAAGGTGTGCACAATGGCACTCTTCAGTGGCACTCTTTGGCTAGCTGCTTCACAAGTGTGTCAATGGGCCTTCTTGCCAAGTTGCTCTGTGCTGCTGCCCTTGGTCCCATGGTGAGTTGTGTTTACTGAGTCCAGATGACACAACAAGTAATCATGGTGCTGAGCAGGTAATTATTTCTGTTTGTGTTCTCTAAAATCCAAAAGTAAAATGCTGAAATACCACAACAGGGTTTGGATAACATGACAAACCATTCACAGTAAAAAGCCACTGTAGCTTACTTTGTTATGAAAACTGAGTGGCCCAGGCAACCCAAATGTTTACTATTGCAACATACTGGCAAACTATCACAGCAAAAGAATGCTACATCTCTGATACATTTCTGACTGTTTTAAAAGGCAAGCTTTTTGTATGCCATTATAAAAGGATCACTGTGTCCCCAAGCCGCACTCCAGCAATCACATTGAACCTACCTTAGAAAGGCCGCCCACTTCCAAATAGAAGCAGATAATGAAAACATTCCACGAGACCCAGAGAGCAGTCCACACTGAGTACTAGGATGGGGAAAAAAGCGAAAACATGAAGATAAAAATATTGTACACAAGGTGTAGATCAATAAGATAAGATCAATAAGCATAGCACTTCTGGGAACCATCATGCAGGGAGTAGCCAGAAAGGTTTCTCTTGGTTGAAAGCCCCTAGAACTGTAGCCAATTGCAAATCCAATATTCTTTGCTTCTCTAACTACATTCAAGGAGAAGTTAGATTATTGAGGTTGCTGTATTAGCCTATTTACACCAGCAAATATTAACAAAAAACTTGTCTCAGTTATAAATGTTGTGCATTTCCTGTTCATGATATACCTTTACATATGAATGTATAGAAACAAGCGCGATATAGCCTCGTTTTGTGAAATAGCCTGACTGATGTTCCCAAATTCTAGTAAGCAGATGCTGGGATAAGCAGAAGTGTTTTTATTAGATTATGTAGAATCATTGCACCACCTAAAGTTTACATGAAAAACTTTGGTTATCTAAAGTTCGGATTTTTATTCAGCATTGGAGGAGGAAAGAAATGAATGGGTTCAGACAACACTACATCCTTTTTTCAAGCCAAACACTGCGTATAACTTCAGCACAGATTGTTGCCCAACCGTGGGCTGTCATGTTATCTGAACTCAGCCAAAATAAAAGCCAGGGCTTGTTAACCATGAATGACCCATGAAGAAAGAACATTGTTTATTACTGGATTGTGAACTGTAGATAATTATCTCAACTGGGTCCAGAATACATAATAATCCATATTTCAGTAAGAACAATAATTCAATGACAATCCACGCTTTACTATTATTCAGTCCTTGAGGGTGGGTTACCATGTCTGAACGTAGTCAGTATTGCTTAATATTCCTT